GCCCCAGGGCAAAAGTGGTGGCAGCGCAGTAATTTGCTAAATCTTGTCCAGTCTGGCAGCGACGCCACTGTCCGCCTATATATCACTTCTGCCCTGTCCACGCTCAGCTACGTTGCTCAGTTCTTCCCGCTCGACTCCAAGATTGCTCGCCGCGAACTGTATGTCTTCCACAAAATGCTCAGCATGCCGCCCAACTCTTTTCGTAAGGTAGATCTCATTTCGATGGCGGAATGGAGCCCGCCACCTGTCCTTCGTTCAGCCCAAGTCACATGTGCTGCGGCGGCCATTCGTACAGCCACTTTCACACTCAGTGGAGAATGGGGACCGTTCCTCCACCGCCTGCGAGACACCGCCTGGGAGGAGAGCACGATCCAATCCTTCCCTCGGTGGGAAGCTGGGCGCTGGTCCCCCCCCTTCTGGGAAGAGGCCTCGTCCATCGTGCAATTCTACCATGCCCTGTCTAGCGGGCAGCGTGTCTCGCCATTTACCGCAGCAGCCGTGGCCCTGGCGAACCGCGCCGCACGAGCTGAAATTCGAGAGGCACCCGACGCCGACCCGCCGCGTCGCCCGAAGGTACAGAGGGCGGTCGCACTCGCGCTGCAGCGTGCCTTTTTCTCCTCGCCGTTCACTGTCACCCTCGCGAAGCGCCTTGCAGCGCGGGGCCTTCAGAATACGCAGCCGCCCCCTGAGCTCGCCACCCGCTGGACTACTCTCGCGAAGGAGCTTGGAGAGGTCCGTCCTAGCTGGCGCTGGGCGGTTTTCAAAACGCCCAGTGGCGGGTGGACGACCACACACCGCATGCATGTACTTGCTCAGCGCTCGTGTGTATTCGGTTGCCCGAACGCACCCGATTCTTTTCCCCACTACCTCTCCTGCTCCGTCCTCCTGAGCCTCCTCTGGTCCCCCGACCCCGCTCCGCTCCTTAGCGCATGTACATCGTGGGGCCTAGGCCCTGTAGCAGCGTGCCCTTCCGAACCTGCCAGCGACCTCTCGTTGCGGCAGACGATTCGCAGGGTTGTGCTCGCTTTCCACATGCACAACAAAATGAAGCAACACGCAGCGCCGTCGCCAGCAAATATTGCTGCAGCGATGGCCGCAGCGAAATCACTCCTGTGGCGTTGAGCCGCTGTCTGCCGTCTCACGCCCTGCCTCGCTATCTAGGCAGGCTTGCGCGTGGGCTGGGCTGACAGACGTGGCCGCCTCAAGGTGCGTTCACTCCTCCTCCTCCTCCTCCTCCTCCTCCTCCGCGGGCCGCGTCCTTTCGGCCCGCGACGACGCCGCCGCGGGCCGCGGCCCGCGGTCGCCGCGGCCCCCGCCCGCCAGCCGCAGGCCTGGCGGCGGCGAAGTGGGGGGGGGGGAAGGAGAGAGCAGCGAGGTACGAAAGTGGGACGGGGGAGGGAGGAGGGAGGAGGAATGAGGGATGAGGGATGAGGGAGGAATGGGCATCTCCGAGTGGGCCCAACGGTGGCGACAAGTAGTTTTCCACCTCGCCGTCTTGGTAGTAGTGTAGTAGTACCAGCAGAAGTAGTAGTAGTAGTAGTAGTAGTAGTAGTAGGAGTAGCAGTGATAGTAGTAGTAGTAGTAGTAGTAGTAGTAGTAGTAGTAGTAGTAGTAGAGGCAGTAGTAGAAGAAGTAGTAGTAGTAGTAGTATTAGTAGTAGTAGCAGTAGTAATCGTAGTAGTAGTAGTAGTAATAGTAGCAATAGCAGTAGTAGTAGTAGTGGTAGTAATAGTAGTAGTAGTAGTAGTAGTAGTAGTCGTACAACTAGTAGTAGTAGTAGTAGTAGTAGTAGTAGTAGTAGTAGTAGTAGTCGCCGTAGTCGTAGTCGTATCAGTAGTAGTAGTAGTAGTAGTAGTAGCAATCGTACAGATAGTAGTAGTAGTAGTAGTAGTAGTAGTAGTAGTAATCGTAGTAGGAGTATTCGTAGCAGCACAAGGGCAGTAGTAACTTAATAGTACTTACAGTAGTCACATCCGTAGCGCCAGTCGTATTATTATTAGTAGTAGTAGTGGTAGTAGTAGTAGTAGTAGTAGTAGTAGTAGTAGTACCTGCAGTAGTAGTAGTAGTAGTAGTAGTAGTAGTCGTACAACCAGTCGTAGTATAGTCAGTAGTAGTAATAATCGTCGTAATCGTAGTAGTATTACTACTACTAGTTGTAGTGGCCGTAGTAGTAGTATTAGTAATCGTAGTATTACGTACTAGGTAGTATGTAGTAGGTCGTAGTAAGAGCAGTTGTAATTGTAGTAGTCGCGATAGTAGATGTATTCTTTAGTAGGCGTAGACGTAGTAGTAGTAGTAGTAGTAGTAGTAGTAGTAGTCGTAGTCGTAGTAGTAGTAGTAGTAGTAATAGTAGTCGTAGGTAGTAGTAGTAGTAGTAGTAGTAGTAGTAGTAGTAGTAGCCGTAGTAGTAGTAGTAGTAGTAGTAGTAGTAGTAGTAGCAGCAGTAGTAGTGGTAATAGAATTGGTAGTTGTAGTAGTCGTAGGAATCGTCGCAGTAACAATAATAGTAGTAGCCGTGGTAGTAGCAACCGATAGGTAGGGGTAGTCGTAGCAGTAGTAGTAGTTGTAGCATTCGTAGTAGTAGCCGTCGTAGTCGTAGTAGCATTAGTAATAGTAGTAGTAGTAGAAGGAGTGACAGTAGTAATCGTCGTATGAATAGTACTAGTACTACTAGTCGTAGTCGTCGTCGTCGTCGTCGTCGTCGTATGATGAGTCGCAGTAGTAGTAGTAGTCGTAGTAGTCGTAGTAGTAGTAGTAGTAGTAGTAGTAGTAATCGTAGTAGTAGTAGTAGTAGTAGTAGTAGTAGTAGTAGTAATACCATACGTAGTAGCCGTGTTGGTTGTAGAGATAACAGCGTCGCTACTGCCAGGAGCAGTAGTACTACTGTCAGCTTGTGTGTTGCGTTATGTTGTCGGTGGTGGCATGTTGTTGGTTGGCGGCATGCTGTTATTTGGTGCTATATTGTTGGTGGTGTCATGTTGTTGGTGGTGTCATGCTGTTGGTGGTGCCGTGTTGTTGGTGGTGCACGTTTGCTGGCTGGTGTAATTTTGTTGATGGTGCCGTTGTGCTGGCGGTGTCATGTCGCTGGTCCGTGCAGAGCTGTTGGTCGGTGGCACGTTGTACGCTGGTAGTGGCCCTGCCGAGGGTCGAGGGATGTATTGCTCCACCCGGAAGACATAGCCACGCTTTGTTGGACGGCGGTTGCTGGTCGCGCAGATGCCAGTGCACCTAGACTGCCTCGTTTCCCCCTCCCGTCTGGCATTTCCTTCCCTCCCCCCCCCCCCTCCCGCTCTCTGTGCCCCTTTTCCCTTTGCACTCATCCCCGTACTTATCCCGTGCCCCGTCCTCGCTGCCCTTTTCACCTTCCCCTCGACATCTCCGTTTCTTTCTTCTCTCCTTCTCTACCCTCCCCCCGTTACCTCCCGCCCCCCTCTCACGCCCCGTCCCCGCCCTCCGTTGCCCCCTCTTATCTTCGCGCCCTTGCCCCCCCGCTCTGTCCCGTTCGCCCTGCTGCCCGCCCTCGCCGTCGAGGCTTCCGGCTTTTCAACCGCTCCCCGAGGGGGCCGAGGGGCCCTCCACGCGGGCGCCCGCGGGCGCCCGCCGCGCCCCCCGCCGCGGCCCCATCAGCGTCGGCCGCGGCGTCGCGGCGCGGCCTCGAGGCCGCAGCGGGGATGGGGGAGGGGCAGAAGGACGACGAAGATGAGGAGGAGGAGAAGGAGGAGGATAGGCGAGAAAGGAAGAGGATGAGGGTGAATGGGGCCGGGGCAATGCAGTGGGATGCGACGGGCGGCCAGGGCGAGGAGAGGGAGGAAGACGAAGCGGACGGGGGAGACAGAACGGGGGGGATGAGGGAGGGGGAGGGGAAGGATGAGGAAGGGGAGGGAAGGAGGAGGAGGAGAAGGAGGAGGAGGAGGCCGCGAGGAAGGAAAAGGATGGCGAGGAGGAGGAGGGTAGTGTGCACGCTCGATGGTCGATGCTCGACGCTGCTGCTCAGGCTGCTGTTTCCCCTCGTCCCCATCAGGGCCCTCGTCCTCGTCGCAATTCCCCGCCCCCTCCTCCTTCTCCGCCTTATCGCTTGCCCCCTCGATCGGGCTCGCAGCCGCGCTAGGCCGCGAGATCCGTGAGGCCGAGGCCGACGTCGCCGCGGACGTCCCTCGGCAGGTGGGCCAGCTTTTGCCTCCTCTTTCCTCCCCCTTTTCCTCCACCCCCCCTTCCTTCCCTCCCAATCCACCCCTTCCTCATTCCTTCCCTTCCCCCCTCTCCCCTCTCATTCTTTCTCCTGCCTGCCCTTCCCGTTCCTCGCCCCTGCTCTTCCCGCCCGTACCCTCCCCATCCCTGGCCCTTCCCTCCATTCCCCTTCCCTCCCCTCTCCTCCCCCTCACCCATCCTCCCCTCGCATGCTCACGTAAGCCGTAAGCCGTAAGCCTCTGCCGTAAGCACTGACAAATGGTTAAATGGTGATGTGTACGTGCGCGCCAGTTATCAAATAAGCCTCCCGAGGTGACCATGGTGTCGTTTGGGGAGGACGCCGTGCAGTTTATATTGGACAGGAATCTGGGAGAACAGCTAGTGTCGACTGGTGCCAAGCGGTGCGCTGACGTTGCATTTCTCATCTTACATGCGATGGGGGAGTCGTCTTGCGACGTAGACGCTGTAGTGAGTCACAGGGCAATGCGCTACAAAGTAAAGAGGTCTGCCAACGCAGCCACTGAACACGTCAGCCTGGAAGGCACCATGCCGCTCTGGATGTCCGACTGCTGCCACATGTGGTGGAAAGCCTATTGGGCGTTCGAGTGACGCAGGGCGACTTTGATGCAATCCTGAGGCGGGTGGTGGAAGCGTGCGGCAACGCACCAGCGCCGAAACAGAAGGCGGGACGGGCGCGCGAACGCGGTTCGCCCCTGCCACGCGCAGACCACCCAGGCAGCCCGCTTCCAATTCAAGACGGCGCTGCCTCGGGTTCTGGCCAGATAGTGGCCGATCTGCAGGCGGCCCGTGCGATGACCCTGCACACTGAGATGACACACGCCGGCGCGCGCCAGATGTTGGCGGCCAGGGGCGCAGAGATCCACCAGCTCAGGCATGACAACAACCAGATTCAGAAACGCAGGAACCACTACATGTCTAGGCGCGAGCGCTTGCAGGCGCAAGTCGCCGAAGTCAGACAGGAGATGCTGGAACAGAAGCAGCTTGTATGCTGGCGGCCCCAACGACATATCACGACCTACGGAGGGTACGCGCTCGCTCTGAGGCGAAGCCACTCACACGCGGGAGCAAAGGTGGCAGCTGCGATGATTGCGGGCGACGAGATAAGAGGCAGCGTGCGAGACTTCAAGACTGTTCACGAGTACGAGCAACGAGCTTCCATGGCAAAGGTAGCCAGGGCACGCGCATTCTATCAAGAGGGCTTTCACAATGCAGCCTTTGAGTTCCATTGCATTAAAGCAGACGCGACCAACGGAGAGGCCGTGAATAAGGCAAAGGTTCACGTGTCTTTGATCAGCAGCACGTACTTGGCAGCCCTTGGTGACGACGAGCCTGAGAGCGCCATCGCAGACCCTGATGGCAATATAATTACCGACAGAATTTCAGCTCGGATAACAACATGTGAGACGTGCGGTGACTTGCAGGAAGTACAGGGCGGGAAGGGCTCCGACACTTACGACATGATCCTTCGCGAGTGCGAGAGCGTCGCGTGCCCGACCTGGGAAGCTAGGGCCCGAGACCGCGCGGCCCTCGAGGGTGGCGACGAGCGCTGCTTAACTGTGTACCTCTTCGGGCTCGATGCAGGTCCAGATAACAAGGGTTGCCTTCATCTGGTTCGGCGTTCGCTACTCGGTGACAATTACGTTATGTTCCAGGTGGTGCGGTGCTTCTTCCACCAGATGCATCTCATCGCGAGGCGCATCTTGGCGACAATAGAGATGTGGTATTGGGAAGAAGGCGGGGGCGCGGACAGCTCTTATTACAGCGCAGTTGCTACAATTGCCAACGTGTGGCGGACGACAGGGAACGCCAGGATAATTAGAACTGCCGCCCAAGAGCTATTCACGCCCGAAGTCTCCAATGTCCTTTTCACCAAACTGCCTGGCAAGCCGCTGAGGGGGCGCTGGGGCAGCATTGACGGAGTGGAAAGTATCATAGCCAACTCCAGGGACCACACCGGGGCAGTATTCCAGAAAGCGCTCCCTTCACTGCCCGAGAAGAAGGCCGCCGCAGCCAAAGCCCGAGCACCAGGTGGCGACGAGGACAAGGACTATTCGGCAAAGCAGAAGGAGTACAAAGCTACAGCCAGAAGGGCAACTTCGACAAAGCTGTTCCTGGCATTGGCCTATATCAGCAGCAAAGCGAACGTGCCAATGCTGAGGTTCATGCGATGGGGGCAGACATGTATCAAGAAGGTGAAAGCTGCCTTTGCCGCTGACGCATCTCACCTCGGGCCCGCGGTGCTATCTACCTTCGTCTGCCAGACAACGCAGGTGATTAACGAGGACATATGCAGGCTGCTGCGCGCGGACTCCGTTGCCGACGACCTCACGTGGGGCCCGCTCTGGGGCATGCCCCCCCCTGGGCACGAACGCAGGGCGCGGCTCCTAATCGTTTCGCTGGTGCTGAAGGAGGCGGCAAGCTGGCGCGTGCGCGCCACGAAAGGGGCAATGGATTTCCCCTTCCTTTTCCTGAAAGTGCTGGAGGAGCCAAGCGCAGAACGTTCGGAGACCAGGAAAACGATCGCCTCGCTCCTGCTGGAGAAGTGCGACTGCTGCCTCGAGGAGATGCACGGCGACTTGTCTCTCAAAGCTAAGGCCATGTTCCGAGATGCGTGGGAGACCATGAGAGACACTGGGACGTGCCGCGCCGACTTGCACGCGTGGCTGCCGATCCTAAGGTCGCGCATGCCTTTCGACGCGCAGGAAGTGGAGGGGGTGAATTCGGTGATCCAGATCACGACGAGAATTGCGCCGTCAATGAGGCTCCCCCTTACAAGCCACAGGGTTCGCATAAAGAAGGGCGACCCGATCAGCGTGGAAGAGTGCATCGCAGTGGACAAGCAGGTGAGGGAGGAGATGGCCACGGTTGCCTTCGCGGACCGCTTCGCGCCGCTGCCGGCCATGGACGAGGGCCACCAGGGGGCGCCAAGTCGTTCACGTACTGCAAGCACAGACTGTCGCCGACCCTTCTCACTGCAGGACGCTACGCGCTCGCTGCGAAAGCCTTCATGCCCGTTTTCGCAGACTCTGTGTTTTCTTTGGCAGTGGGCGAGACGCGGGGGTTCATCATGTGCTTTTCCTTATCTTACAACGTTTACGTCGTGATGGGCAAGTTGGCGCTACATGGGCCTGTGGGGGATTTCTACCTCTCCGATGACCTCCACGTGGCGCCCCTGGTAGAGCTGCCGGAGGGAGCTCTGGGGGCAGAGGGGGAACCGCCTGCCAAGAAACTGAAGCAGGGGAAACTGCCGGCGATGACGCTGAGGCGATGGAGCGCCAGGTGGGTCACGCTGCAGCGCTGTAGACTCAACGACATGGAAGAGCTCGAGCTGAAACCGAGGCCGCGCGCCAGCGCGAAAGGCGGAGGCGGGGCACCTGCTGGGCCTGCAATCGGCGACGGCGGCGACGGCGACGACCATGACTACGAGGGGGACGACCTGGACGTGACTGCTTTGATGGAGGAGCTGCCCGGGGCGGGCCTCGAGCTGGACGAGGGCGCCGTGGAGGACGGGGGTCTCGCAGCGAATCCAGAGGGTGAGGACCTAGACGACCATGGCCTTGAGGTGAAGGAGGACGAGGGGGAGGACATTGTAGATCACGTAGATGGGCCGCCAGCACGGCCGAGGTTCCCTGATCTCACGCCAGAGGAGGAACGTCGTGTTCGAGAGCTGTCCTCGCGCAACAAAAGGTTGCTGGAGGATGTGTTCGTCAAGGCGAGGGAGAGGGAGCACGTGCCCACCGACGTCAAGGATATTGGCCTCATCGTCACCGCCGATGGGCACGTACATTTTGTTTATTGGATTGTTCCGGCACACCGGAAGGGCAGGATTATCCGCCTGGACAACAAGAACAGGACTGTGACTGTTGTTCCAGGCAGCTCCTTCCCAGAGCACATGTTCGAGGGCTGCAGGGTCGTGCTCGGCGACACGGGGGCGGCCATGGTGAAAGCCAAGGGCGACTTGAGGGCTCCAATGCCCGAGTGGCCGTTGACGTTGCAGGAGTACGAGCAGACTCAGCTTTGCCAGGGGCCACTTGGTCCAACGGCGCAATGCTGCCTGCGTGCGTCTAGGTCGCCAGAAAATGCCACGGCGTGGATTCAGGAGGAGCGACATGATGTGTACAAGTGTTCACAGTGCCTCTGCGTGTGGCATAAACTTTGTGCTGATGCAGTTCGAGCCCCGCCAGAGGGCGTCTTCACGTGCCCCGTGTGTTCTTCGGCGCGATGAAGCACGCGCCGCCCACCGCGGGCGCGCGCGTGGGCACGTGGGAGGCACGCGCGCTCAGCACGCCCATGTTTGCACGAGTGCGCGTGGTGATGTATCCTTTCTTTTTGTTGATGAAGGATGAGGAGGAGGACGGGGGGGGAAAGGCAGAGGGAAAGTAGGAGGAGAGAGGTAATCAATGGTGACAGGGAGGGACCCAGGGAGGGAGACGGGACGGGGTAGGGGATGGGCCTGGGGGTGGGGACGAGGAGGAGGACAGGCAAGGGGTCGTCGTCGTCGCCGTCGCCGTCGTTGTCATATAAGTCAGATCTGTCGTCGCCGTCGTCGTCGTCTCCGTTGTCTCCGTTGTCGTCGTCGTCGCCGCCGTCATCGTCGTCGTTTCTGTCGTCGCCGTCGTCTCCGTAGTCGTCGCCGAGTCGTCTCCGTCGTCGTCGTCGTCGTCGTCGCCGTCGTCGTTGCATCCGTTGGCGTTGTCGTCACCTTTGTCGTCGTCGTCGTCGTCGTCGCAATCGTCGTTCGTCTGCTGCTCTTCCCATTGCTGCCGCCGCCCGCCCGCCCTCGCCCGCCCGCGGCGCAGGCGTGGCCGACATCAGTGACGAGTGGCACCACAGGATCGATTGGAAGCCCCCTGTGGGCTACCCGTCCATGCAGGACCCTAAGAGGGCGGGGCGGGGAGGGATGGGGAGATGGCGGGAGGGGAGCAAAGGGGGGGCAAGAGAACGACGAGGGGGATAGAGGGAAACGGACGAGGGGTGGGAGATGGGAATGGCATGGGAACGGGGAGAAAGGGGTTCGTCGTTGTCGTCGTCGTCATTCGTCGACCGTCGCCGTCATCGATCGTCGATCGTTGTGGCTCGTCGTCGTCGTGGGCGGTCGTGCTCGAACGCGCTCGTCGTCGTTGCCGTCGCCCTCGCCGTCGGCCATCGTTGTCGCCGTCGATCGTCACTCGTCGATCGCCGTCGTCGCCGTCGATCGTCGATCGTCGATTGTCGTCGTTGTCGTCGCCCAGCGTTGTCGTCGCCAATCGTCGTATTCGATCGTCGTCGTCGTCGACCGTTGATCGTCGATAGTTGTCGCCGTCGTCGTTTTATCGTCGTTGACGTCCACGTGTTGATTCAAACCTGGTTCGGCACGACGCACCAGGAACGCACATGTGTCTGCAACAACCACCAACCCATAAAACAAAAAACAGGTGACTCCATCCAACTCGATGCATTCGCGCGTTGACTCGCACGCAGCATATGATAGAATACATGCGCGTAGTATCGCTCGTTAACTTAACGATATCGTGCACTTAACGAGTCGTTAAGTGCACGATATGGTGCTCGACTTCCTCGCCATGGGAAGTGGCATGGGGCCCTGCTCCCTGCTGATGGGAAGTGGCATGTGTCTTCCAACATGTTGGAAGACAAGGCCACATGGCCACTTCCCGTCGGCAGGAAGTAGGGGCCCACGGGCACTTCCTGAGGGCAGGAAGTGGATGCACGTGGGCACTTCCCGTCGGCAGGAAATCGGGCATGCCACCGCCCCGCGTCGGTTGAAACCGACAAGTCTTGCCGCTTCCAGATGGCAGGGAATTGTGGCTTGCAAGCTCCACCCGCCGACGGGGCGCGCTCCACGCTCGACTTGCCTCGAGCGGTCAGCGCTCGCATGCCTCTAGAGCTCTCGGCGTCGGAGCTTGCATGTGCGTCGGCGGGGCCGTCGGTCGGAGTCGCGTTTGCGGGGCAGCCCCCCCGCGCGTTGCGACGGGCAGCTCGCCCCCGCGCGCTCGGAACCAACCGCCATCTTTCTCCTGCCCCTTCCGTCCTCGTCCTTCTCACCCGCCTCTTCCCCTACTTCACCTCGTCACCCTCCTCACTGCCTTCCTTTTTTTTTTATTTTGTTGGGCAGGAAGTGTTTGGGGATCTCGCGACCTTGGAGTATCTCGCGAAGATCGATGCCGAATATCTGGCGGCGAAGGATTTGTCAATTCCCCTGATCAGCTCGAGGGGGCAGTGGAGCGTGAAGAGGCACATCATGAACGACAGGGGCGACGAGTCGAGCATCGCGTCGAGGCAGAGGTCGATCGAGAACACCGGCATCGTGCTCGACAACAGGGGCGGGCCGTTCGCCATCCAGCACAATGACCCCAGCGAGAGCGAGCTCTACTTGGCAGCCCACTGGGCAACGCTGATCGAGGGCCTCCACCGCGCGTGCCTCGCCGACGTCGGCAAGACCAACAAGTGCGCACAGCTCAGAATGAAGAACGGGCTTCGACAGGTGAAGGTCTACAGGAGCGGGGTCCATTATTGCCCCGCCGCGATCGCCTTTCTCAAGGGCCTCGGGAACATGTTCAACACCGAGGCGACGAGCACGACCCCCTTGGAGAAGGTCAGGAGCACTACCCAATGCGAGGCGTCGTGGATGTCACTCAGGACTCCTAGATGGGCAACCTCCTCCTCGTCGCCCGCCTCCTTCTCGCCTACTCCCCTACCTTACCTAGGGCTCTTTCTCCTCGCCCAACCCCCTACTGCCGCGCTGGGGACGTCGCCCCAACCTCAACAGAGGGCGAGGATGAACTGGTCATGGAGTGCGCTGGGCCAGAAGGTTCACGACGAACGGAAGCACGAGCTGGTGCAGTCGTTGTTCCCTGGCAGGTGGGGGTCACACACGAGCTACGAGCACACGAACACGTTCTACAAGGATTCGACGGCGATCATTCTCGACGATGGCCGCTCGGCGTGGGATCACCTCGCGGAGAGAGTCAACAAGGAGGTCAACCTTGCGAACATGGACCACAACAGCCACGAGCGGATATTTGCGGTGATGGCCCATGTAACCAGGCAGTTCAAGAACCAGGCCAAAGATAAGATCGTGGACGTGGTCCTCATGAGCACGCCGCGCTTGCACGGCGCCTGGGGCATGTGTTCCTTGATGCCCGAGGGGCTCCCGTTGCTCAAGACAGTGTCGGAGAAGATCTTGAAGGACCTTGTGACTCCGATCAGAAATATCGCCGTCGCTGTTGGTCCCAACCTCCCCCTCCTGCTCGAAAAATGTTTCGGTCACTTGACTTCGCAAATTGCGTTTTGCCCCGCCCCCCCGTCGCGGCTGGGGGCCCGTCGCTAGGCGCGGGGGCTATAGCTCGCCAATGGGGCTACTGTTATTACTACTACGACTACTACTACTACTACTACTACTACTGCTACTTCTACTTCTACTACTACTAGTACTACTACTACTCGTGCTAGTACTTGTATTGGTACTAGTAGTCGTACCAGTGCTCGTACTATTACTTCTGCTGCCACTACTACGACTACTACCACTACTACTACTACCACTACTACTACTACTACTACTACTACCACTACTACTACTACTACTACTACTATTACTACTACTACTACTACTACTACTACTAGTACTACTAGTACTAGTACTACTACTACTACTACTACTCTTACGACTATTGCTACTGCTACCACCACGGCGACTACTACTACTACGACTACGACTACTACTACTACTACTACTACTACTACTACTACTACTACTACTACCTACTACTACTACTACTACTACTACTACTACTAATACTAATACTAATTGTAATACTGCTACTACTGCTACTACTACTGCTGCTACTACTAGTACCACTACTACTACTACTACTGCTGCTACTACTACTACTACTACTACTACGACTACGGCTACGGCTACGACTGCGGCTACGACTACGACGACTACTGCTACTACTGCTATTACTACTACCACTGCTGCTGCTACTACTACTACTACCACTTCTACTACTACTACTACTACTATTACTACTACGACTACTACTACTACTACTACTACTACTGCTGCTACCACTACTACTACTACTACTACTACTACTACTACTACTACTGCGACCACCTCGTGTCATATTCATTCGGCCCCATGTTCCGCAAAGGAGCTGCTGGGCGAGTTCGTCGAGCCTACCATTCTCCAGTCGAGCAAGAAGAGCGGCAACGACGTGATCGCTAAGGCGCAGACGAAGATCAAGAAGCGGGCTGCGAAGACCAAGGCTGCCAGCAAGCCGGCGGCCAAGGGGAAAGCCAAGATGAAGGCAACTGCGACCCCGAAGACGCCGTCTCTGAAGCTCGCCCCCAAGCAGCTGCTTGCCTTGGCCGACGCCAGCGTCAGCGTCGAGGACTCCTGGAGGCCCCGGCGTGCAACGCGCTGGACCACATGGACAACCAGATGGCCTACCTGCTCAAGCTGGACAAGCGGGCCAAGCACAAGGTGGACAGTTACGCGCAGATAGCTTTGTACTTCATGGTCACGAACGCCCCCATCAGCATCAACGTTGGCGGCCAGCATCGCGTCGTCAAAGGGTTGGCGCAACTCCGCAAAGCCTTCAAGGCGGCTGTGTATGCGGGCGCATGCCTCACCATCCGCCCGTCGGATATCGACTTCGAGGCTCTGGGGATCGAGCTCGGCTCAATCTCGACGCAGCCCGACAAGCCCGCCGCGAAGGTCTACAATGATTCCTACTTTCGGGAGGCCCAGGAAGAGCGGAAGCAGGACGCGATCGAGTTCCACAAGATCCTCACCGACACTGGCGTCTTCAAGAACCCGTTGCAAGCACAACCGATGGCTTCGCAAGCGCTGCAGGCGTCCATGATTTCCGTGATGGGCAAGCTGTCGGAGTTCGGGGGCAAGCTGGGATCGGTCGATGCCGCGGTCCAGCTGATCTTCGAAGAGGCCGCGAAAGAGGTCGCGAAGCTCTTGCCTTCCCAATGTGACGAGATACTGCACACCCTGCAGTGCGCGAAGGACCAGGACATGACCCACGCCATCGTGAACGACGTCTTCTTGGCCATCCTTCGTTCTGGGTGCTCCGCGCAGTTGGCGCGCTGCGAGCGGATGCAGCTCTTCGGCCACGTCGCGCAGATCGTCGGCGCGATGAAGGTGACTGTGCAGAGCGAAGGTGGCGAGCCCAACCTGACGACCTACCTGCCGCCCCCTCTCTTGCAGTTTGCCAAGGAGCTCACCGCAGCCTTTAACTTGAACGAACTTTTCGGCCAGAGCAGCGACGGCGCGGCATCGCTGTCGAACTTCGGCTTCGGGGAGGTAGAGGTCACTCCTCGTGCTTCTCACCCCCGCTCTTCTCCTAGTTAGTCCTCCTTGCTCACTCCTCCTCATCCCCCTCCTCCTCCCCCTCCTCCTCCTCCTCCTCCTCCTCATCCCCCTCCTCCTCCTCCTCCTCCTCCTCCTCTTCCTCCTCCTCCTCACCAGTCCTCCCTGGCTCGCGCTGGCGCCCCATTCGCAATGGACAATGCCGCGCCGAGCTCGCCGCCTCCTCCTCCGTCTCCTCCTCCCACCCTTCTCTTCTTCCCGCCCTTCCCTCCCGCGCCCCTCCCCCCCCGCCCCTCCACCTCGTCCCCCCTCGCCCGCCAAGAAGGGGGCGCCCGCCGCCTTCGAGACACCCGTCGGTATCATCTTGAAAGAGCCCCTGGGGCTGCTGAAGCACATCGCCGACCGCCCGCCTGCGGATCTGGAGTCCAAGAGGGGCAGCGGATGGGTGGGAAAGGGCGGGCGGGGAAGCACGGTGGAAACAAGGGGGCGGGGCGGGGGGGCGTCGATGGAGGGCCGGGGGCGAGGTGTGGGGGGAGGGGCGGAGGGAGGGAAGGAGGATGGAGGGAGGGTTCAAAGGGGAGGGTGATCTATGGATTCAAACCTCCTTATCGGTCTCCCCATCCCACTCCTCATTTTAATGATCAGGCCCGCGGGCAGACACATAGGTTTGTTATGCGAAATAGCACGTGCCTGGACGAGATTCCGCCCTTCGGTGACAGCTCGCTCTGGCTGGTCGCGTGTGGTGCCTCATTCTTGCCCCGCCCCCTCCTATCCAGCTGCCCCCCGCCCGCAGGCCATGGAGCGCGCTGGCATCGCGACGTTCACCCCCTTCGGCAAGAAGATGGAGAATGGGTCTTTGGAACCCACTAGGGGGTTGAGGAGGGGCAGCGCCTCCTTCTCGTCCTCTTCCTTCTCCCCCAGCCGTAATTGACATCGCACATTTCGGGCGGGTGGGGGTAGCTGTCAATGCCTGTTGCTGGCCGATGGGCCTCCAATGCCACCGCCCACCGATTAAAGTTGAAGCGTCGGTTGGGCCCGAGGAGCCCAGCCGACGGCGCCGGGGGGGGGGGGGGTGGCTGGAGAGAGGCGGGAGGGGTGGGAAGAGGAAGATGCGGAGGAGGGGGATGAGGAGGAGAATGATGAGGAGGAGGTGGCGAACTTGGCGCGGCACATTTCGTTGCACATAGGTCGCTGGCTTGAGCCACGGATGAGGAGGCGGATGTGGAGTTGGAGGAGGCGGAGGAGGAGGGGGATGAGGAGGAGGAGATGGAGGGGGAGGAGGAGGAGGACGAGGAGAACTAAGATAAGGCTGGAGAGGAGGAGGAGGAGGAGGAGGAGGAGGTGATTGGTATATTCACCCCTACGCTATGACGTAGAGGAGGCACCAATCTACGGACAACGTGTTCGGGCCACCTGGGCGGCCCTCCTCACGGCGGCGACGACGCCATCGCATGAGCGCAACGACCCCGCCAATGTACGGGCAACGTTTTCGGGCCACCTGAGCGGTCCTCCTTGCGGCGGCGACGACGCCGTCAAGAGGCCGACCCCACCAATCGATTGGCAACGTTTCGGGTCACCTGAACGACCCCCCTCGCGGCGGCAGCGATGCCATCGCATCGACACGCGGGGCGCCGATCAAGGGGGGGGAGGAGGGGGGGGGTGGAGGAGGGGGAGTGCGAGGGCACGCCAGTTTTGCCCAAGACAAAACCTGTTAGGTGCTGTTACCTTCTTTTCAGGAGGTGGAGGAGGGAGACGAACGCACCGCCATGACGCGCAACGCACCGTCGGTGCGTCGGTAAGAGACTGCCCCGAAGGACCTGTTCCCCCACGAGAAGGCCAAGCACATCGACACCTGCGTGGCCTTGTGCGACGGCATGTTCCCCAAGCAACTGGCGTCGCTCAACATGATTGCCTCGCCGTGCGCCGCTATCTCTTCGGCGCTCGCTGAAGCGTCGAAGGCAGCCATGGCAAAGCTCAACGCTATGGAGACCATCGCGGCACTCGCCCCGAAACATGTCGACGAAGCGCCTTTTAAGCCCGCGTGTACCCCCATCAATGATTGGCTGGCCGCGGTCGAGCAGGCCGAGGTGACTGCGGTCGACGGCGGCGCGGGCGACTCGAGAGGGTGGACAACGGTCGAGGCCAAGACGATCCAAGCCCTGCTGCAGGTCGCGATCTTCCGCGAGGTCGCTGAGAATCGCCAGAAGCGCTCCCGCCCCGTGGTGCCGCTGACGCAAGAGGACGTCAGCAACAACGAGATCAAGGGTCCCAAGCTGGCTGTGGTCAGGAGCCCGCTGGCTGCCGACGAACAATGCGATGACACGCTCAGCTACGTGGGCAAGGTGGTTGATACCACGGTTGCCAGCACGTGCCAGAAGTCGTGCTTGATGCCGCTGTGCCCCGAGCCCGATGCTGACAATTGCACGGGCCTATGATGTTTCTCGATGGATCGAAAAACATGAATTGCTCGAGGTCGGACTTCTGCGTGCTGCGGTGCATCCCCGCGTGGAAGGATGAGCCGCCCAAGAAGCGCAAGAAGAAGGAGGGCGAGAACGGCGCCCAGGAGACCCAGAGGCGGGCCACCCACGTCGCGACGTGGAAGGCGATCGACATCACATTCGAGTTCAACGGCAAGACGAGGACCGCAATCGGATACAACGATAATCATATGTTTGATGCTGGAACATGGTTAACCACATATGTGTAACCATAACTGTAGGTTGATATGGATATGGAAAGGCTTGTACAGTTCAATGCCGACCGCTATGTAGCTGCCCACCTCCCTGTCGAACGCCCGCCCTCAGATAGGACGCTGACGTGCAAGATCCCGCAGCTTGGCTCCAAGAGTGACCACCAAGACCAGGAGAGGAACCTGAGTCGCGACCCCATCTTCTTTGACAGGGAGCCCCTCCCAAAACCGCCGAAGGCCACGAGGTGGGGCATCGCGGGGAAAAATAGATATCGGGCAGATCATGCTCCTTCTCTCCTTCTGGTCCTCCTCCTCCTCCGCCTCCTCCGTCTCCTCCTCCTCATCCTCATCCTCTTCCTCGTCCTGCTCCTCCTCTCCAGAAGCTGCCAGAAGCGTTCGCACCCGCATAAATGTGACTCCTCGTTTCCTCCTCCTCGTCCTCCTCCGCCTCCTCCTCCTCCTCCTCCGCTTCGTCTCCTCGTCCTCCAATCCCGCCGGCGTTGCCCCCGCCGTTCTGCCGCGCGCCCGCCTCCGCCCCGTGCCCAGGTTCGAGGGCAACGGCGTCGTGGGGCGCTGATCGGCATCGACGCCCGCGCGCCCCCCCCCCCCCCTGCCGCGGAAGGTAGGGGGGGGGGGATGAGAGATGAGAGGCGGAGCAGGAGAGGGAGGGAGGAGGAGGAGGAGGAGGAAGGACGAGAAGAGGGGGGCAGAGGTGGGAGGAAGAGGAGGCGTAGGAAAGGACGAGGGGGTGGGGGATGGGGAGGGCACCAGGGGGCGAAGGAGCAAGGAGGCGGCGCGCCCGCGGCTGGCGCGCCGACGCGGCGAGATCCGAGCCGACTGCCGCTCGTCGCAGCTGTTCGCTCTGCTTTGAAATGGGGGTTGCTGTCCCTCTCCCTCCTTCTCCTCATCCCCATCCTTCGCGCAATCCCCCGCCCCTTAAGAGGGGCAGGAGGGGGGCGGATGGATGGAGAAGGGGGAGGAGGAGGAGGAGGAGGAGGAGGAGGAGGAGGAGGAGTAGGATGATGATGAGGAGGAGGAGGAGGAAGAGGATGAGGAGGAGGAGGAGGAGGAAGAGGAGGAGGAGGAGGGAAGGAGGAGGACGAGGAGGAGGAGGTGTGTGTAAAACTGTCTCAGACTTGAATCGCCGCGTCTGTCCTAGTTGACCCATGTGGAACAACATGCCGCATGCCCAGCGCCTTTTACAGGAGAAGGGGGAGGGCGAGGAAAAGGGGGGGGAGGAGGAATATCAGGAGGATGGGGGAGGAAAAGGAGGAGGAGGA